GTAGCAGACAGACTTGTCTGGGAATAAAGAGAACCTGTCCCGAACATAAACTCGCTGCGCTGTTCGGCTTAGAGGGGGTGGAGGAGCATTTTGTACCGTTGCTAGTTCCACTGTTAGTTCATATCAAGTAGCGGGACTTATTTTGGAGAGACCTGTAAAGTTGTGGTGTACTGCGTAAAGGCACAAATGAGTCGCTATGGTTACAGTAATATACAGGTCTTCACACAGTTGCCTGTGCAAAGTTCGCTTACTTTAGTGTCCTTTGGTCCCCTTACCAAGTCAAACTGCAACAATGTTGCCTCTGTAAGTATTTAGTAGGCCAAGTATGCGCCGCGATTCTCTTGTGGTTCCTACAGTAGTGCAGATGCATGGCGCCTTCCAAGGGATTACCTTAAAACTGTTCGCGATTGGTTTTCCCCCACAGTGGGCGGTGAGTGAGAATTACTATTGTTCCGGAAGGTTCTGCAAGAAACGTTGCCAATCCTAAGCTGGGAAGTGCAACCAGACAGGCAGCCAGCGTGCCTTATTGACACTCGCCTCATCTCGCTTCGATTATCGCTTAACCAACATGCGATGAGCGCGCCAAAGTCTTTGGACCGATTAACCCTGCTGGGATGCTCATGCTCCACTAGCATACCAGCAAAAGTATTATCGAGCTATCCCAAACATCATAGCCTTCATCCCGTGGCCGCAATGATATCATAGAGCACGCAGCAGCAACCGCGCTCCACGGCTAAAATGCCGCTTAATGAGATCCTCCTTTAAAGTGGTGGTCAATATTTTAAAGATTGCTGGTCCTCGATGAATTGTTGATTTTTAGCTTTCAAATCGCCCTTGTTCCTTTATTCATTTCTCGGTTCGTTACCTCTGAGCCTTTTAGGATCTAGGGCCAATTCCGTGGGGCGAACTTCTGTTTAGTTCTCAGGTAATTAGCTCTTTAAGTTTTCATTGAGCCATAACTGGCTTTTGACGACAAGGATTTTTGATGAAAGCTTTTGACGGGTGTCAGTGAAGATTCAAGATGGCCCTCCACCATAGTTCACAAGACTGGAAGCTGTACACTTTGAGTCACGGGAGATGTATCTCACCCTAGACGGATATTCGCAATTTTACACCTCGCTACCTCGATTTAATTGTTGTGAACCGTTGCTGCGACACTTCTGTTCTTTTCTCTTTGCGTAAAATTGGCTCATGCTGAAGGGAGAAGGGCAATTTCATTACTATTAATTCTATTTTTACTGCACTGTGTGTGGTATCCAAGGAGAAGAGAAAACCTTGCTGAAGACATCTACAGCAAGCTTAAAGACCACGTTTCCGATATATCGCGTTATTTTCGAACAGCGGACCCGGACTTCCGCCATTGAATGCCGTTTACTCTGAAAATTGGTTAAGGAAGCTTAGTAGTGCCCAACTTCTCTCTTCGTTAAGGAAGTGACCTATACAAAAAATCGCGACCTTTTTTTAACCTACAAAACTCGTTGGGCAGAATTGGGACACAGTAATCTGCGGACAGTCCACCAAGATGCCTTCCTTTATCGGAGCAGCGTTGTGTAAGGCGCCGCGTTCATACTTGCGAGGGGGGGGGTTCGGCGATTCCAGAGATTGGGCGACGAGGAAAGTACAAAGATCGATCTGGCGACCGCAGAGTATGAGCGAACCGGCTATCTGAGACTTGGCGTTTTCGGCGATTCGGCGCAGGCAAAAGAAGTGGAGGGGGTATCGAATCGCGTAGTAACATCGTTTGCGGAGATTCAAATGATCAGCGATTTGCGGAGGTCAGACGGTTTCGGTTGTTTAGAAGATCGCCAAGTCGTAGTCGAATCTGCCAAATCACCGAATTTCCTCAGTTGCGAAGTATGAGCGTAGTCTAAGTATTTATTCTTATGGCTAGCTCTGGTTCATTTATATTGCTTGAAGCAACTTTGTGAAAACCACAGACGGAAACAGCTTTATGAACAGGAAATTGCATTACTGGCCACTATCTAACCGATTGCTTCCGTATGCTCCTTTCTGTTATCAAATGTTCCACGTTTCAGGGTGAAGGGATGACTCCCCCGGGTCAGTCAAGTAGTCAACCGTTGCCATCGAAGGAACTAGGCCTATTCAAGAAGATTATTGTGAGTAATTTTTGCTAGAACGCTTATCACAAGTTCCTGCTGAACATTCCGGTACATTTCCATTTCTTTTAGTTGTTTTCATTTTGACTTTTTTCAGAAATCATATGAACACAAGAAATATCGGTTTGGATTGAAATATGCTAAAACAATCCTGAGTAATCCTGCCTTTTCGGAGCATGGAGGTGCATTTTGTTAACTGTCTTGCTTTATTATGAATCATATTGAGACGCTAAGCCTATTTATATGATGGATTCGTTTCAGAAACTCTAGCAATGAAGGGCCTAATTCTGAATTGTATGGGCAAGCAACAGGAGGCGCAGGAATGCGTGAAAAGAGGGCTCATGGTGAGTAATATAATGTGCTTTACAAGCCTTTTGCTTCCTGAACAGTTAGATGCAGTGCGTGAGCATGCCTGAGTATTCTTTCCCGGAGCCTCACAGTGGTCTGAATGTGTAATAACAAACGAAGCTCCAAATTGCTCATGCTCTAGAAAGCTCAAAGGATCAAAAAAGTCATATGAGATTACAGTGGCTATCTGGGGTTCACCTTTTCTGGTTTTTGACTTAGGGGGGGGGGGCGCATATTCTGCGCTTTTGCCAGTTTCTTTTGAGCGTGTTAACAACACGTCTCACCTTTGTGAGACTTGTGGGTTCTGGACAGGTGTAAACGAAGCTCGTGCTATTGCATAAATTCACAGATTTGACAGGTCTCCTCAGGAGGCATCGTGAGTGATCGATGGGAACCAACAAAATGCCTCCCACCAAGCCAATCTGCGCCTACTTTTAGTATGATCGGGAAAATTTTGCCTGGTCATTATTTTTTCAAATTTCAAGGATTTGCAATGTCCTTCATCCTTATTAACCCTGTACGAATCCGCTATTCGGTAGAGGTTCCGAGGTTCTAGAGAGTTCGTTGTGCAGAGTCAATCGACTTCTGTCTAGTTCATTGTTGCCATTTCTCTGATGTTGGATTATCCAGATCGATACTTACACTTTTCGCACGTTCTCCCGAATCGCGGATTTCCCACATCAGCATAGTATGAAAGTGGCCCAAGATCTTTTGTGGCTGGTGGTTCCAGTATGCTCAAAACTGGGTTCTCAGTTTTGTGCATATTGGAACCACCAGCCGCAAAAATATTTTACGAAGTTTCTTGTGAAGGTACGCTGCCATTGACTGCAAAGCTCCTTACCCAGGCTCACGGCAGAATCTTCTTTCCCTTTGTTTCACCATCGATTCATCGCATATTCCTGCACTAGATTTCGTCCGTTGTAAAAAAAATCGTACCTCAAAACTTCAGAACACTTTCCCCTATCTGTGCAGTTTGGTGACAGGACTTTTCACATATGTCCCCACTCCCTAGTCGGCTTGCGCTCATTTGAGATTCGTCATTGTTCAGGTGATGTGTGTGCGGCATATGTTTTGAATTACATTTCGCGAACGAAACAAATATATAAAACCAGTTCAAACCATGTGATTTGCCTGTGGTTGCATGAAAAGAACTTTTTCGTTCCATGTAGTCTACCACTCACCATGTTTCTGGACTTAATGCACTACTGCGACAGCTTGTACTTGCTTTTATGTGTCTTTTTCCTTGGTAATTGCGTAATTGCATGGTTCGCCTAACGATATCCGTTCATTTCCATGTATTAATAATAAAGCCTGCAATATGGTTATCTCAGCAAAACCATGGGGCGAGACTACAGGGCCTAGTAATTATTCCATATACTTCATGTGGAGTTCGATCATGATTTCCCAGCAACGCCATATGATGTGAAAACGTTCACTGGCGTCGAAATTCAATACGATTCACATGATATGCTCGTGAATAGCGCCAGACCTTTGTGATATCACGTGTACGCGGTTTCGATGACGACCACCGTGTCAGACCCAGTGTCACTTTTTTTTCAATTTATATGTCATTCATTTTATAGGCTGACCTGAAATCGTACGTTTGTTGGCACGTCTATGGGCTTGTCCAACGTTCCGATAAGAAATATGATGAAGCGATCAAGGTACGTTCACTTTTCAGGCGTAATGTACTCATATAATTGCCAAATTTAGGCTTACAAACGAGCTCTTTTCCTCGACAAAGACAACATGCAAATCCTACGAGACCTGGCCTTGCTCCAAATACAGATGAGGGATTTTGAGGGGTACAAGGTGAGCCCAGTACCGCTGAGTATCTTGCGGATCCTAACGATTGTTATGTCAGGAATCACGGTATCACTTGCTGCGACTTCGACCAACACAACGGGTATCTTGGATAGGATATGCAACTGCTTATCATCTCCTAAAGGATTACGAAAAGGCTCTTACTATTTTAGCAGAATTCCTTCAAAATAACAAGGTAGGAGGTACTCATTATTTTTACGTTGGCCTTTGTTTGGATAGCTACCCTGTTTTTTTCGGGGGGGGGAGGTGCGGTCATGCTTTCTAATCTTTGTCAACTTCTAGCCCACATCATATGACTTCGAACATTCCGAGTTAGTGCTATATCAAAATATGATTCTTTGCGAAGCTGGTCAGCTAGAGGAAGCTCTATCCAAACTAGAGGAAAATGCGACCGTTATTGTGGATAAAGTGACCTATATGGAGAGAAGAGGTAGTTGTTTTCTGTTTTTTTTTGTTATGCTTTCGCTTACAAATTGTGGCGATGAAAAAGCTTGTGGTTTTGGACAAAATGAGCTGCTATAAGAGCTCTTGTGACTTCTCGTACTTCATTTGCTAATGCGCAACTTCTCGAGTGTAGACTATTATATTGAACAATACTGCGTTAACCTCAATGTACGTTTCTCAAGTGACGTTTCGGTTTTTCTTTTCTGAAAATCTGTGCCACTGCGCGTTTTCTAGAGCAATTTCTCCAAATACCGCGCGTACACATGTTGATCCTCTCGAAAATATGTTGACAGTTGTTCATAGGTCGAAGTCTTGTTCATTGTGGGAGAAGGGCGTGTCAGGTGGGATGAGTTTGGCGCGGCGCCATAACCGTTTTCCACCAGAGTTAAAACGAGGAAGGGACACAGCTTCATCGTGTCCTCAGTATCATTCATTATACCTACTGCTACCACTTACTCGCTTCATTAAATGGTGGAGAAGCGGTTTTGGCGCCGCGCGAAACCCATCCCGCCTGAGACACCCGTTCATCCACGGCGAACAATATTGTATATTATAGTTAGCTTGAAATGTGTTGAGTTGCGGTATCCTCAGCTACCAGTTCTACCAAAGCCTTTGACAGAATCGTGAGCAGAGAAATGTTTCCGCTGCACAAGAACGGCTGGCACATCTAACCACGAAGGGGCCATCGGCTTCGTGCATTGGCTCTGTCTGTGGGCGCGCATTGTCTCTGAATGACTATTCTATTTGACTGAATTTCAGGTGCTATTTTGATGGATCTTGGACGGCTGGAAGATGCAGAAAAAGTTTACCGCCAACTTATCGATCGAAATCCGGAGAACATTGCATATTACGACAAATTAGAGATTTGCCTTGGACTCGGGGAAGGTATGCCAACTTTTGCAATGCTTACATCTTCCGCTCATCTATTAGGTTGTCCGGAAAGTTCTCAGCGTTTTGGGTGTTTCACTTTAAACGATCGTAACTTTTTTAATACTCATCGGATTTAATCGAAATAGGCACCATTCGAATCAGCACACTTTTGCCAATGTGACAGCAGTCGAGAAATCCCATCAAAGTAAAAAACTGGGTGGTCGAAAATTCACGAAATCCACTAAGGCTTTTTTGCCTGGTCCTGATTGATGAAGTATTTTCCAGCAAGGGAGTTCTGAAAATGTTAGAAAAGGTGATAGTCGGTTGGCGAA